TTGACAATGTTCGACAACATTGTCTTTTCTTTTGTCTCTTCTTGAAACGCTAGTGATGCTATGGGAGTTAGAGAAACAAATCATGAAATGTAGCCATAACAAACACCACTGCCGACCTAGGGTTTCCCGCAAACATGCTATGTAGTGTGACCATAGTAGAAATAGAAATATAATAATAATAATAATAATAATAATAATAATAATAATAATAATAAAAAAATAAGTATGAAATTCTGAACATTTTGGGAAGCACTAGCAACGAAATTTATTACGGTACCAGTGATGATTTCTTATATCGCTCTATTCTCAAAATGCTAATAATAATAATAATAATAATAATAATAATAATAATAATAATAATAACAACAACAACAACAACAACGTTGGCTATGTTTCTGATCTTAATTGATTTGAGGTGGTAACATGTTTTGTTTCGGAGATTTTAGATGGACTACAGTAAATTCATTTTCTTTTATTGTGCTCTCTCTCGTTAATAATCTTTTTTATTGTATTCTGTCACATCCAGTAAGCCTTCCTCTTTGTGTTAGTGGTTTTGTTGCCTTGTTTGATGGGAAATTATTAAAAAAAAAATAAATATCCAGTTGAGTTCCACAAATTTGCTTGAGCGTAACCAGTTAGCCATGTCCGTCTGGGTCTGATGACCTATGCATCTCTGTTTACGTGTGGTAGTAGTAGTAGTAGTAGTGAAGGTGCGGGTGTTGAGAGGGTGGATTCTTTTATGCTTGAACGATGAACTTGGGCGTCACATCTGGATACTTGTGAATGTCCACGACCTTAAACCCTCAGATCGAACTGCGCTATCCGACTTGATGGTATTTCCAACTCCGCCCCACCTTCATGGTTATGTGCTACTTTTCTCAAAACCTGCCATAATATCGTTCGTATTTAGCTGTGATGCATGTGCTTACTTTACATCGATCAAACAGGCCGTCATAATTGAGCTTCGTATATTTGTACACCAGAGTCACTTTGTTGGCATACTGCTTTCTCAGTCAGTAATGAAAATGATCATCAAATATTCAGAATCAAATATAAATACGAACCAAATTTTTTTTTTTTGCGTGAGAATATAAAACGGTAAAAGTCTATGAGACTTTCACATACGCAATCCAGACCAAGTAATCCGATGTAGTCAACGTACATAAAAAATGGTTATCATTTCAGAGAGGATCTGTTGCGTTTCAACATAATTTAGCGAAAGCAACTATTATATCCATCATTAGAGAAACACTTAGAAAAGTCTCGAAGTGCCGGTAAGAGACGGGAAGAGCTGGCAATTGGAGAAATTAATGGAACTATCGAGTCTACATTAAAATAAGACTGAATACAAAGTAATAAGAGAGTTAGAGTCCAATAAGAACCACTCGCAACTAAAATTTATAGAGTACGAACTCATAATAATAATTTGAAGATCTTCAAAACATTTTTTTAAAAATACAATAATCTTGAAGTGGAAATTTAAAAAAAAATGTAGCCCATGAAGACATCAATAATTCCAGTCGTAGTTAGAGCTCTCGGATTGATTGAAAAGTTTCCGATAAACTCATTGAAGTGATTCCTGGTAGCCTATGCCTGAAAGAAATACAAAAAATTGTACTCACAAGTACAACTCACACATTACCAGGAATTTATCTATGTAAAATGTGAGTGATCTTAGGTTGTTATTTTTGTTGTTTCTTTTTTTTTTTTTTTTTACAAAAATCATGTTATTTCTGACCTTCTGAACTTAATTAATAAACACTGGTATAAACATCACCCAGAACCAGCTACAGAAATAGAAAACATCACAATTCTATGGGATTATACCATCTTTATAGACAAGAAAATTGAAGCAAATAGGACGAACATAATTGTTTAAAAACAGAAAAAACGTTGCCTACACATTGATATGGCTTGCTCAGAGGGCTGTAACATAGCAACCAAGGAATTTGAAAAAAAACTATCCAAGTATAAAAACTTGGAAATCAGATTAGAAAAAATGTGGAAATTGAAAACAAGATTAGTACTAGTCATAGTAGGTGCGCTGGGAATGATAAAAAAGGAACACAACAACTTATTGAAAAAATCCCTGGATACCACAGCTTCAGAGAATTACAAAAGATTTTCTTGATACATTCAGTCAGCACACTAAGAAGAACTTTGTCCATGTAACGCTAGTGATGTCATGGGAGTTAGAAAAACAAATCATGAAATGTAGCCATAAAAACACACTACAACCTGACTTAGGTCTCCGGGAATACTTGATAGGTAGTGTGAACATAGCAGAAATTGAAATATAATAATAATAATAATAATAATAATAATAATAATAATAAATATGAAATTCTGAAAATTTTGGGAAGGACTAGCAAAGAAATTAATTACGGTACCAGTGATCAACGGAGCACTGTTATGCTGTACAAAAAAAAAAAAAAAAAAAAAAAAAAAAAAGGAAGAAAGAAAGAAAGACATTTGATTCGGATTTAGAAATAGTGTTATTACAAATAAAGATGCCTTCTTAGAGCAACAAGTATACTGCTATAAATTTCTGGACGAACAAAGACTCATGGACTTGTCTTGGCTTCCGTCGGAGCAAAAAAAAAATTGAAAGAAGGAAAAAGATAAAATAAGGAAGACAGCGAAAAGATCAAAATAAATTTCATGGCAATGATAATGGTTTTGATCAGTGAAGGAGTTATTTATGCAATTCGCTCTGACACTAGTGATCAGCGTTTGAAAGCAGATAAAAGCCCGTATGTAGGATACTGATTTTGCAGGGATACAAGCCCCTCCTTACTTTCTTCGAAAATCTTAAGTCTCGTTACCTGACATTTATACTTTTGCCCAAGAAATCTAAGCTTAGAAAATATAATCAATGAAAACATAACTCATTTGGTCTAAGCATTTTACGACAGTGTGTCTCTGCAGAAAATCAAAAACTTTAAAACTGAGCAAAAAAGAATATAGAAAAATTTATTCAGTATACTACTGTTGTCCCACAAGTAGTAGTAGTAGTAGCAGAAGAAGAAGAAGAAGAAGAAGAAGAAGAAGAAGAAAAAGAAGAAGAAGATGAAGAAATATAAGTAATAATAGCAGTAAAAATAGTTGGTGTTGTATACACGAAATAAAAAAAGCGCAAGCAGGCAGCTTTTAAAGTTGTATTTATTGTAAACTAGACAGTTTTAAAGTAAGTTAAAACCTATCAAACCGGAAGGGTTGTTTATGCTGCGCATGCGTGCCTTCTGCTTAGAGCTAAAATCAAAAAAAGAAACTTATCACAACACATCACGCAGCTAAACGATGTGTTTATTGGTTATTATGTATTTATTTTCACAAATCCAAACACCCAAACCACACGTGTTTTTGTGTGCATAAGAGCAAAAAGATCTTGTATATCTTACAAAGCTAAAATCATAATAAGAGTTGTGGATATTTAAATTATGAATAATGTTTTCTTAAAAAAAAGTTTGCGATTGATTTTTTTTTTAATACATCGAAACTTAATCAGAACATACAAAGGAAAATCAGCTGTGAAGACTGGAGTTTGATTTTGAGGTTCAGTTTATTTCGATTTATATATATATATATATATATATATATATATATATATATATATATATAGATAGATAGATAGATAGATAGATAGATACACCTAGTGAGGCCAGACAAACGCGCTCAATACAACCGTAGAGCAGACCTAGATGCTCTACAGTTGTATTGAGCGCTTTTGTTAGATGAGTTGTTTACTCGTATCAGGGTTTTTCTTGGGGCTTCAGACCTGCATCTGTGCGATTTTTTGTCGGCAGAAGTTCATGTTTGTAGCTCTTTCTTTTTTAAAACCTTTTTTCCATCGAGATTGATTTGATTATTAGCAAATCAAAAATTCGAGGGTTTTTCGAAACAAGTCTAGTTATCTATAATTATATATATATATATATATATATATATATATATATATATATATATATATATATATATATATGAGTGTATATATGTGTGCAGTGCATATATGTATATATGTATACACAAACATGTGTATGTATACACACACTCACACACACACATATATATATATATATATATATATATATATATATATATATATATATATATATATATATATATATATATATATATGTATGTATGTATGTATGTATGTATTAGTCGAAGATCAATGAAATTACTTTGTTTATGTTTTCTACCGCCGTTCAGACCATTTTTCAGGTTCACACAAATAATTGAACATAAATCTTCCAATGATATTTTAATGATTTCACCATGTGTGTGTGTGTGTGTGTGTGTGTGTGTGTGTGTGTGTGTGTGGAACATAATGGGATGTGAATGGCATCGGTTCAAGTAAAAAGGTTTTAACCTCCAAACGAGCCGTGACCTCAGGGTCATGATCTGGTGCAAGAATTTTTGGAGGCATGACTACTGTTTACAGAATAATAGCTGTTTGGCTATATGCCTTTAAAAAGAATTCTTTGTTTAAAAAAAAAAAAAATCCCTAAAAGTAAATATGCTCAACAGATTTCTTAATGGATATTAATAAAATTAATTAATTATATTAAATCATCTCCTTCTTTGTTTAAATATATTTCTCGCACTGGATGATGCGTATGTGTAGCGCGAAATGACTCAGTTATATAAATTGTTTATATATCCAGCAAATATTGGAAAATATCGTCATCTAAAAATAATATTAATAATAATAAACTGGTCTCAATTTAACTGGATGCGGGGCACGCCGTCACCACTTCCTGAAACTCGGAAGATATCCTTGGTAACCCAGCCATTTGTGTGTTTGTGTGTGTGTGAATGTTTGTGCGCGTGTGCGCTCGCTCGCGCGTTTTAAGCTGCTGTTTCTGTCTGACTCATCGGCATGATTGCAGGAATCAACGATACTTATTTTATCCGAAAGAACTCGTTCAAAACAAGTGAAGAATTCATTAAATTTTGATTTTGCCTCATATGCTCGTGTGTTTGCGTGATCTATACTTCTAAGTGCATACACTGTTGGCACAAATACATACGAATGTGCCACGTAACAGACAGCGAGACATACATACGCCCAGACAGACAGATAGATAGATAGATAGATAGATAGATAGATAGATAGATAGATAGATACTGGGAAGATAACCTATGCAGATATATATATGAACAGGGTGACAGATAGAAATGAACAAACATAAGCCGTGAGATAAATATAAACAGACTGTGATATATATATATATATATATATATATATATATATATATATATATATATATATATATATATTTATATATATATATATCTATAAATATATATATATATTTATATATATATATATATAAATATATATATATATATATATATATATATATATATATATATATAGATAGATATAGATAGATAGATAGATAGATAGATAGATAGATAGATAGATAGATAGATAGATAGATAGATAGATAGATATATGCAGAAAATCACTTATATGGATGGAAAGAAAGACGTGCAGAAAGTTTGATGCATAATTAGACTGACTGTACACATTTACCTTGCCTTGGAGTAATGGTTAGCATGTTAGTTTCCACACTATATTTACTTTGTTGTGCTGGACGCTGAGTGCACCCTACATTGTTAGCTCTCTGACGAAATTACTTAAGCATTGTAAACATCGAATGGAATTCAAGCTGATTGATTGCCAAACATTTAATGATATACATAAATACACGTATGCAAACAACGTATTAAACAACTGACAAAATATTTTGACGTTCCAGATGGATGATATTGTAGACTCAGTAGTTTTCATTTACATTTGATTTTATTTTTCACAAATAATACTATATCTAATTTACAAAACGTCAAAACTTATTCTATATGAAAAGCAAGGTTTCGTCCGTAAAACAGCGAGGTCTTAAATTCTTTGACCGTAAGAGTTTTTAAAAGGCAAACTTAAATAAACTAATCAAAAAAAAAAAAAGGAAACATTCGATTTAAAGATTCCTCGGGGATACACACTGATTTTAAGTATTCTAAAAAAAATGATTAAAAGAATAAATAAAGACGTGAGGAATAATATTTATTTTCATTGATCCACGAACTAAAAATAAAATGCAGACGTAAAAAAAAAAAACGCTTTATTTAGTTTTAGAGCATGCTCCGTATATTTGACCGCACGAATGTTCAAGGTTGTGCGTATATATGAACGCAGGTTAGCATGCTCTCATGATACAATTAAATTTAAATATTTACTAAAACTTCAACTTAAAACCATAATTACCGCTTAAACTACTGTTAGTATTCGCGCCATTTGCAATGACTACTATATGAAATATCTTCCACTCCTTGCAAAGGAGTCACGACTAACTTTTAGCTCACGCACACACACACGCACACACACACGCACACACACACACACACACACACACACACACACACACACACACACACACACACACACACACACACACACACACACGCACACACACACATATGCAGGTGTTAGCCGAATGAAAATGTACATTTACAATAAGACGTGCTTATGTTGGGGACATGCTGGTGTGCATACAGACAGTGAAATATATAGATTGACGTAAGGCATAAACAACTTACATAAAACAGAAAGTGAATATTTTGTATTTCGGTGCGTGTATTGCATTTAAAAAAAAATTATAAAGAAATTAGATAGAAATTTTAGAATTGTAGACGTCGTTTATATCAGGAATACAAGTATTAAAAAGAAGCGAGAACTGTTAAAAGAATGAAAAAGAAATGGATACAATAAAAAAAAGTGAGGTACTTTAATAGTAGAGATTAAAAAAGAAAAGAAAAACAAATAAAAAATGTCTAAAACATATATAATTATCAAGTATTTTCTTTCCGATTTTGATTTAAAAAATAATAAAAATAAAGAAATAAATCTGAAAAATGTCACAAAAATTATTACAAAAAAGAAAAAAAAAACCCAGACACACAAATAAATATAACAATTTACTGACCTTTTGTATATTCCGTTATGTACGTTATTTCAACGGCGAACTTATCTAATATTAACAATGCTGGTATATCTTGTCAACAAATTCCTTTCTCGTATAGCGTCGTTGACGTCTTCGTAGATTTTCTTGTTGATGATGATGATGATGTTGTTGTTGGTTGTAGTTTTGTTGTTGTTGTATTTGGTGTTGTAGTTGTTGTTGTTGTCGTCGTAGTCGTTTTGGTGACAATAAAGTTGCAATGTGTCCAGCTTGTGGTATAAAATAACAGACGACATCTGGTCCCTTCCTAGACATTTGGTGACGGCTAGAGTGAAGCGAAAATCGCGAACAAGGCTAGTCTGTTCTTTCACATGGTTTCGTGAGATAAAGATAGAGAGATACAGAGGGCGGCAGTGACTTGTAATAATAACAGTGATAGTAGTTGTGGTGGTAATAGTTGTTGTTATGACGTTGTTGTTAGTGGTAGTAGTAGTAGTAGTAGTAGTATTAATAGTAGTAGTCGTCGCTGTCGTTGCAGGAAATGTTGTTGTCGTGATGGGGGCTGTGTGCGATGTAGTTACGAGGAATATAGAGATGTTACAGGATTAGGTTAAGAGTAGTGAAAATAGTTGCATAAATGGTATTAGTTGAAGTAGTTACTGAAATGGTAGTGGTCGTAGTTTTGGCGGTGGCTGGTTGGTACTGGTCACGGTCGTGGTGAACTTTGTGGAAAACACATTGATCTTTGTTTTATATAACCAGTATGTGTACGCAATCCGGGTGTTTCTTAAGTTGGATAAAAATCTGACCGTGTGTTCGTTCCAAAAGACCCCTTTGAAATTATTTCTTTACTTTATCTTTGTTTTTCCTCGTTTCTCCACTTCCTTTTATAATCTTAACCACATAGATTTATAGAGCAAGATTTATTTAATTGGTGTATGTGTGTTGTTTTATGTACGTGACAAACACCGCGTATTCGACCCTAGAGAGTTTCATATTCATATGGACAACAGACTCTTGGCGCGGAAATACTAATGATGTTGATATGTGATGCACGTAACACGGCTTTATTCCATATAACGTCATCTATATTGTTATATTTCGGTGTAAATTCTATTAATCCAACGTCTGGGAACCCGTCTGCTTAACACATTTTTTTTTTATGTGATTGGCAAAGTGATAAATAATTGATTAAATAAATTCAAGTCTTTCAGGGGATAAGTTATTAATATTAAATCAAATTATTTTTTAACGTAAAAATGTCCAATTGGCACATTAATTTTCTTTTTTTTTTATTGTTCTGTATGTATTTTTTTTTTCTCTTCTGAAATTAAACCACGCTTTCTGAGTTCTTTGTTGGTTCGCTTATTAACCAAAAAGTCTGTCGTTGTTATTTCATCGACGCATGACAACAATCGCAGCCGGAGTAGCAATCATAATCGTCAAAGTTTCCCAGAAAAACGCACATGCCTTCTTATCTAATGCGTTTGTTTTTGTTTTCTTTTGAATTTTTTTTTTTTTTGTTCTTTGTTTCGGACAACGCACAAAACTTATATAATTTCAATAAAAAAAAACAGAATTTAAATAAAAGAAAAGGAACAAAAGATAAAATAAACAACAACAAAAAATATTTTCAATAATAATGATATTTTAAAAAAAAATCAAAATGAATAACTTTTGTCAGCTTTCTTTGTCTGAAGATAATTTACTTTAAGATATAACATGAATAGATTTTTTCCAACACAGCAAAACGGGTCACAAACATTTTTCCTTTGTTTTTTTTTTTTTATATCTGTTCCGAATGTTTTGAATCTAATTCTATAATTGAAGAAGGAACAATAAAGAAATTAATTAACTATTTCATCAAGAAGAGTAATAGCAAGTCCTTCCCTCCATATCCTTTGTCTGGCTATTGTGTTGTTATTTATCAGTAGCCATTACATTCGATCCAGTTAAAGATGATTACACATAGTTGCTAGTAAGTAACGATTATGATAATGGTGACCGTAATTAATTGATGAACAAAGCAATAATAAAGCCTGTTAATATTAAATTAATAATAATGATTATTATGATAGCAATGAAAACGTTATTTGAACTCGAACATTGTCATTATATTTTTGTATAATGATAATGGTGGTGATATTAATTAAAGTAGTAATAATAATCGTATATTTCGCTTCTTTTTCAAGTTAGTAAGCAGTACTACGCACACAGGCCGTTTTCTACAACATGGTCGACGGACTGTTCTCTGGTGAACTACACGTGGGTTCATCACCGGCAAATGTTGTAGTTGAAAGCCATGTGTACATGTGTAAGTGTGTGCGCGCATCAGTGACAGACAGCGAGTGGGGGGAGAATCGTAATATATTTGAGAGAGAAAAAAGTGAGAAAGAAAGAAAAATAGAGAGAGATATATAGGAGAGTTTTGAGTGCACGTTTCGATTGAAAAAAGGCAACAAAGAAAAAAGAGTGTGAGTTTGAGTGTTGGTATGAGTGAGTCTTTGTTAAGGGTTGGGGAGACAGAGACGATAAAATACGCGAGGTTGTTTCTTTGTGCGTGCATGTGTTTACGTTGTATATAGACAGAGAGAGAGAGAGAAAGGGAAAGAACAGACAGATAGTAGGGATAGCACGAGAGAAGGTCTTAACAGCGTGTGTGTGGGTCTCCTTGTTAGTTGCAATGATCGTCTGACTGTTAATCTAGAATCGATGTAAAGAAAAAAAAAAGAAAAAGAAAGAACACAATGAAAAATATGAAAAGAAAGAAAGCGAGGAAAAAAATGATTAAAAAAATTAAGAATAGTAAAAAAAGTGGAAGGAATGATATAGAGTGGGGGGAAGAACGAAAAACGAGAAAAGAAATGAAACAATAAAAGTGTAGAATAGGAAGAAAAAAGAAAGGAAAGAAAGACAGACAGAAAGAAAAAGTGATAAGAATGTAGGAGTAGAAAGAAAGAAAGAAAGAAAGAAAGAAAGAAAGAAAGAAAGAAAGAAAGAAAGAAAGAAAGAAAAAGTGAAAAAATGTAGAAAAAGAGAAAGGAAGAAAGACAGACAGAAAGAAAAAAAGTGATAAGAATGTAGGAGTAGAAAGAAAGAAAGAAAGAAAGAAAGAAAGAAAGAAAGAAAGAAAGAAAGAAAGAAAGAAAGAAAAAGTGAAAAAATGTAGAAAAAGAGAAAGAAAGAAAGACAGAACCAAGCAAACTGATATATTTCAAGCCCCAAATTTAAGAAAAAAAAAATAAAGCGAAAAAATCTAAGAATAAGAAAGAAGTAATTTTATTGACAAATGTTGAAAAAAACCTGAAAAAGAAAACAAGTGAGATTAAAGAAAGAAAAATGACAGATATAAAGAATGATAAAGAAAGCAAAAAGAAGTGACTAAACAAGGAGGATAAACAATAATAAACAGCAAGTAAAATAAACAAGGTAGGGAATAAGGCAAAAACAAAACAAAGTAGAAAGCGAACCTCTAACAAAGAAGAACGGAATGAACAGAGGTAAAAAAAAAAAATCAGGGATAAAGGAAGGAAAAAAGGAAGGAAAAAAGGAAGGAAAAAAAGGAAAACGAAAGAGAATGTAAAACGAACAAAGAAGAAATTGAAAGTAGAACAAGAGTAAATAAAAATAAACAATGCGTCAAGAAAGACAAAGAAGCAGAATAAAACGTGTTTCATACGAAGAAACACATCTTAAAAAACTAGAAAACGCGTTCAAGACAAGGAAAACAAAAAAAAAAAATAAGCGACTGAAAGACAAAGACGAGAGTAAGACAATAAGTAAATAAAACAAATGAAAAAGGAGAAAAACAAAATGGAAGAACAAAAAGAAAGGAGAAAGAAAAGAAAAGAAGCATTTTGAAAAAAACAAAAAAACAAACAAAAAAATAAAAAACAAAGAAAATAAATACATAAAGAATATATATAAAGAACAGACCGGATAAAATAAATAAATAAATATATATATGGAATAAATGAAAGAAAGAATGAAACAGAATAAGTAGAACGAACAAAGCTAAAGGAATATGAAAAAAAGAAATATAAAAAAAACTGGAAAGCAAAGTATATTATCATGAATGAAAAAGAAAGAAAGAATGAAAGAAAGAAAGAAGAAATAGCTGCAAGTAGAGAGAGATATTCTAGGATTTCAAGAGAAATAAAAGAAAAGAAAAAACAAAACAAAAGAACGTGATAGAATTAGATTGTGAAAGAAGACTGTAAAATGCAGGACTTTGTAAACAAAGAATGATTTTTTTTTGTATAGAAAAGGTTGACAGTATAACATATAATATGTAAAGACAAATAGAACAAAGGAGACAGAATACCAAAAAAAAAAAAAAAATGAGATTTACAAATAAGAATGTAAGGAAAGAACCAAAATAAATAAAAGGAGAAATAAAGAAGATGATGAAAATCGCGAAAGAAAGAAACAAAGAAAACCATTTTGAAGGAACAGAAAACAATAACAAAGACAGTCTATTGGCGTAGAGCAATGAGATAAGTGACATAAAAAAAGAAGCCAGCAAATACAGATGACAAACAAAGAAGACAAAATGATTCAAACCAATTCAAAGAAAGAAAAAAAAGAAGAAAGAAATAGCATAAAAAAGAACATGGAAAGAAAGAATTTAAAGAAAGTAAAAAGACTAAAAGGAACAAAAAAGAGAGACAAAAAAGAGAAAAAAGCCCCCAAAAATATGAAAAGAAAAAATGAAGGAAAAAGACAAGAATCAAAAAAGAAAGCAGATATAAAAGAGAGAGCACGAAAAAGAATATGAAAAGAATGAATGAAGAAAAAGGAGGAAAGAATAAAATAAACAGACACTAAAAAAATGAAGGAAAGAATGAAGAAATATCACCAAAACAGAATATGAAAAGAAAGAACGAAGGAATGTAGAATGAAACAAAGAAACATCAGAAATCAGAAAACAGGATAGAAAGAAAGCAAGTAAAAGAAAACAAAGGAAGAAAAGGAGAGAAAGAAAAAAGAAAGAGCACAAAAAAAGTATAAGAAAGAAAAAAAGAAAGAAAGAAAGAAAGAAAGAAAGAATAAAAGCAGGCGGACGATAAACACAGTGAGAAACTAAACTGATGATAAAGTAAGAAATATTTAAAGAGAGAAAGGCGAGAAGGCATGCACTAATTAAGATTTAGTTCTTGGGAGGCTAGAAGGAACGTAGACAGACGAATGGACAGTAAAAACGTCCAGTGTCGCAAGAGTGTAACGAGAGGTGAGACACGCTGACATGTGGGTGGCCGAACTGACTGACCAATACTGACTTCCGGCCAGTTATTAACAT